ACATAAATGTAGACACTTGCTTAACTTTAGAAAAGTGAGTCTATTTTTAACCAGTAAACTTGACATCATCCTTGACTCTTCTCTGAAGTTAGCATCCAGTCCATCAGCAAGTTGCCTCTGCCTGTGCCCCATCCCAAATGCTTCCTTGGCCTTGAACACTCTCTTCTTGTAGGAATGTTTTCGTGGCTTCTCTTTTTGATTCTATTCCCTCCTTTGTTTGCCATCTTTCAATGAGTTCTGTCCACATAGTGAGTTCCAAAGTCTTATCATGTTTGATTTGCCTACTGGATGTCCCTAATCACATTTCTCATTGCTTACCCCTTTGTTCATTCTGCTTCAGACCCTCTGGTGGTCTCGCTGTTTCAAACATGCCGAGGAGGACATTCTCATCTCTGGGTTTTGTGTCTGCTGTTTCTTCTTCTTCTCCAAAGTCCTTCCCTCAGATATTTGCATGTTTCAGACTCACTTCATCCAGTTCTTCGACCAAGATCTTCTTGAATAGGCCTTTTCCTGCCCATCACACCTCAACTCCATCCCGACTCTATCTTTTGCATTCATTTTGCTTCATGGTGTATATTATCAGTGTCCTGCTCCAGAGTGCAAGTTCCAAGAGGCCAGGGACTGTGTCTTTCACACTTTTATATTCATAGCATCTTCAAAGTGCCTTGAATCTTATAGATTTTTAATAGATATTTGATGATTTGAAGAATGATTTAAAAAAAAACAACAACAACAACAACAAAGAAAGCTACAGTGAAGATTGGGCAGAGGACCCACAAAGAACTTTTCTTTATCTGAGTTTCTCTAGCATATTTAGCTAGTTATAAACAAGTTTCAAAATGATTTATTAGTTTAAGAATAACAGTAATAAAACCATAATATAGTAAAAATACCATTTTTTAGAAAATATTAATATAAGAAACTACTTTTCCAAGTAGACAGGAGATTAGGAAAGTGACATTGCTTTATATCTTCAAAATCTTTTCAATGTCTGACTCCGTGGAAGACAACTGGGTTCTCCTGTCTGCTTCTGCATTTGGTCTGTTGTGATGCCACCTGTTATGTAGCCTTGGTGAAGCACTGCTCTGCTCTTGGGAGAAGGGGCAAAAAAAGGCAAAGAATGCATGATGATGATGACAGTTTAAGTGTGCCAGCCCCTTAGAAGGGTCGCCAGGAAGCCTGGGCTTCCCAGATGCTGCTTTGCCAACCCCTGACTTGCGTGGGCAGAGTGTTTCATTTTAATTTGGATTATTCAGTTACTCATAAAGTTGAACTTTTCTTTATTCAGGTTAAGTGTTTTCTTTCCCTTTTTGTCAGTTGTTGACTTTTTCCGTTTTATAAAAAGCATTTGGTTACTAATTTTTTGTCTTCAATGTGCACAGTCAATCCCATCTAGTGCTCTTTTCAGAATTGTTAAACACTCAGGGTTTATTAATAATTTATTGTTTTTGTGTTTTAAGTCATAAAGATATTCTTTATTCCATCAGCTCACAATTTTGGTTTCCTTATTTATGCCCTTCATCTACCAAGAATTAATTTTCCTATGATGCACGTGATGTTGAAATCTATCCATCATTTCCTCACTTCAGCCATTGGTCATTGCTTTGACAGCATCATTTATTAAATGATATATTCTTCCACACTAATTGATGATGCGGTCACTGCCAGGGGCAAATTTGGTGCCACCTATACTCTGTGGCTCTTCTCTTCCATTGGTTTGTTAGAATGTGTGAGTTCATCATACAGGGAGATAATTGTCATTATTTAAGAACAACAACTAAATAGGTGGTAGGGCTCATCCCTCTTACAGAGATATTTGCTTTAAACTCTTTTTGGTACTTTTCTTTGTATTAATTTTTCACCCAAGATTTTGTATCTGTGATTTTGCTAAGTTATGCTCAAAACTGTTGGTATGTTGATTAGAATTTTACTGAATTTATACTTTGTATTTTTTAGAATATTATTTAAACCTCATCCAATATATCACATGCTACAGTAGGTTCCAGGTAGATTTAATCATTCATTTAACTACCTCATATTAGAGACCAAAGAAAAACAGTATTTAATGCCCTTCAGCCTCCCCAAAAACAAAAAACGAAAACCAAAAACGAAAGAAAATATTTATCAAATTGTTTTCTCCAACAAGAGTTTCTAACTTTCAAACTCTTGGGATAATGATCCCCCAAGAAAGATATATGACTTTTATTATCTCAAGTTTGTTAATATCTGTATGTTAAGAGAAATGGAGAAAAAAACTCTCACAATACATTTTAAAAGGTCCTCAGAAGCATCATTTTCAATGATTTGGCAAGTGTTTATCATTTCCATATAAATATTGTTCATGCAGATTGATAAGGAAGCAAATTAAAAAACCTAGTGATAAATTATATCACATTTGGCTAGTAAGCATGAAAAATATTTACTATTACTAGCAATTAAATCCATTAACTAAGAACAGTGGTGACAGATGTGTGTTTATTCATGGAAATAGATGCCTGTCATGTAGATGTGGGATATTGACCAGTTCCACATGCTGCTGTAGGAAATGTAAATTTCCAACTTTTAAGTAAAGCCATTTGGCAATGAGTATTAAACACATGCCTTTAAAAATATTTTCTGATCCAGTATTGCTACTTTGGGAAATCTCTGCTAAGGTAGTGATTAAAAATGTGGAATATACTCTATGCAAAAAGATATATCTTATAAGTTCTTTTTTAAAGAAAACATTTAAGGAGCAATGTATGTGTCTAAGCAAAAATTAGGGAATATAAATGTGCATTATTACATAGGTATTCACATTAATAAAAAATGAAATATCCTCATGTCATAAAGTTAAATGCAAAGAGAAGAGAAAGTAACACATATATTTGCTTTGTAATTAAGCAAAACATCTTGACCCAATAAAATAATACTCCTAGTTTTCCCCCAGTTGTTGTATTATTTATTTGTTTTCTCTCATAATGTGTGTTGATATCCTTTGAGTTATTATTGCTGGCTTTGGACTTTGTGAGATGCTTTAATTGGCTTGATGGCCAAGTAACTACAAAGATGAGCTTATTTCAGGTTATGCCATAGCCATTTCAATATGAAAAAGTAAAAGCTTCTTAAAATTTTTTTAATTTAAACTAAATTTTACTTGAATACACATATACATATGCCTGTCATTATTATACTACCATGTTAAAAATATCCTTATTTTAATTTTTATTCTTATTTTTATTCTTATTCTTTTATCCTTATTCTTACTTTGCTACATGTTTTTTCCAGCTCACCCTAGTGTCCAAAAGGTGGCGCTAGTATCCTCTGCATCAGACATGCCTGTTCACCCTCAACGTACCTCAGAAATCTCGGTTCCTGCTGATCTGGATAAAACCATAACAGAACTAGCTGACTGGCTGGTATTGATTGACCAGATGCTGAAGTCCAACATCGTCACTGTTGGGGATGTGGAAGAGATCAATAGGACTGTTTCCCGAATGAAAGTAGGTGCATGGTGGAAAAGCTTGTGGGGGTGGTACCATGACCAAGGTTCTACCAGATCTGCTTGGGTCCCCTTTGTTTATCCTCAACTCTGAAAGAATGAGGTTTTTAAAAAAACATTATCTGCCAAACAGCCACCCCGGACTAACTGCAAAGAATGAAGCTTTTCAGACTTCATCTAAAGACTGAGTGTATTTTTAAACTCTAAAACTGATATCACGAAGCTAGGCATGTTGGTATAAATGCAAGCTGGTGTTCCATTTAATGCCCGGTGTGATGTAGGATAATTTCCCAGGGCTCTATTTCAGCTCATTTTTCATAATGAGCTCATTTCATTTCTGACTTTAGAAATAAGTATCCTAACCACACTTTTATCATTGTACATATACCATCTAATATCAGTATGTAAAAATCTATTTCCCTATTAAGTGTGTTAGACTCTGAGCTGTGTGTTTTAAAGGAATACTGAACAGACTCTTTTAGATAGAAATAGGGAATGTAGTCAGGTGTGGTGGCACACACCTGAAATTCCAGTGGCTTGTGAGGCTGAGGCCAGGAGGATTGTGCGTTCAAAGCCAGCCTCAGCAGCTTAGTGAGGCCCTAAGCCACTCAGTGAGACCCTGTCTTGAAATAAAATGTAAAAAAGGGCTGGGTCTATTATTTTCATATAAAGATTGTTTTAAGGAAGCAAATTAAAAGACCTAGTGATGGATTATATCACATTGGGGGACGTGGCTCAGTGGTTAAGTGCCCCCGGGTTCCATCCCTGGTGCCCAAATTAAAGAAGGAAGGAAGGAAAAGAAAGAAAAGAAATAGGGAATGTACAATAAAATAATAAAACAACTATTGCTAAATACTCAGTGTGTGCTGGGCATTTTTCTAAGCCTTTATATTGATCTCATTTGCTTCTCCTACAGTCCTGTGAGGTAGGTGCTGTTTTATTCCCACGTCCTTAATAAGCCCCAACTGAAAGAGTCAGGGGCACTCAGTAACCCTCCAGAGAAAAGCTACAATGACAAAGTCTAATAAAAAGTCCCAGGACAGGAGCAGGCCACCTGTTAGGGGAGTCAGGGTGAGCAGAGGGTAGCTTCTGCAAGTTCTGGAAGGCAGGCAGTGGGATTTTGACATCTGAAGATAATGTCAGTGACCTTCCAGGATAGGGAAGAGACAGGAGGCATGGGTTGGGAATGAGGAGCCTTTGGGTCAACATTTGTCCAAGAAGGAGACACGGTGGGGGTGCGGTGGGACAGGCAGCTCCAGTTCCCTTTGTGGAGGAGCTCGCAGGCTGTTAGAGCCCTGTAGACTTTTCCTGTGAAAGCGGTTGGCACACATCTTTCCCCCGCTGCCTTTTCTTTTCTGAATTGCAGCTGGGAACTGGTGATAACGATGCTTTGCTTCAGTAAGAGGATGAGGATGGATTGGAGGCAAGAGATGCTTAAACCAAGGGAAAGAGCCCTTGCCGAGGGGCTGAGAGGACGTGTTGCAATTAGCAGAAATAAGAAGTAGGAGAAATGGATGTGAATGAAGGTCTGAGGGAAGTGGTTTTGGATTTGTTGTGTTGAGGGGTCCTTATGTTGTGGAGAAGAAAGTGAACAACATTCATGGAAACCTAGTCTGGGATCCAGGATCGGAAGTTGTTAGTAATCCACTTAGAAATAACATTTGTCACTGTAGAAGAGGTTGAAGTCCATAAAGCAAGTGGATTCATAAAGTGAAAAGCCCAGGAAAATCTTGTCACACTATTTGTACTTTTTTTTTTTTAAGTAAACCATACTTTCTGAATTCGTTAGCTTTTTGTTCGGATTTATCAGCAACAAGAGCTTCAGTCCATCAAGCAATACCGGTTTTCATGTTTAAGATGATTTAACTTAAAATTATTGTGATTAGCACTTTTCTAATAATGTTGCCGTATCCCACAGGTGATGCCGTGTGTACACATGTCTGGTGCAGAAGAGGTGCACCAGGCATCAGCAGCACTAACTGCTCACGTTCTTTAGAGGGATTTTCTTAGTCTACTCAGACTTGATACATCTTAATAGTCACTATCTTATTGTGTGTGTGTGTGTGTGTGTGTGTGTGTGTGTGTGTGTGAAAGCTAGGACACACAGAAGTAAGGCACCAGGTGATTAGTGGAAGAGCTGAGATTTGAACCCGAGATCTCTGACTCTTCCTCTGCCTCATTGCTGATGCCTGCCTTAGCGGAGGCAAACGATAACGGTGACAACTTTGACATCACCACACTGGTTTGCTTAGTTACTGTTTTCAACGTATGGCTTGTTAACGTATCTTAATAATCATTTCTCTTAACAGATCACAAAAGCTGACTTAGAACAGCGCCATCCTCAGCTCGATTATGTTTTCACGTTGGCACAGAACTTGAAAAACAAAGCTTCCAGTTCAGATGTGAGAACAGCAATCACAGAAAAATGTAAGTTTCTAAAAAAATTGCATATCTTCATCCACTTTTCCTGAAAACAAGTCTCTCTCTATCTTTCACACACACATTTTCAAAGATTCTTCAACTAGAAGTTAATATTATTTGGTGTTTATTACTTTTTATTTATGAAAAATAAATATACCTCCTCTTTTTTTTTAACTTTTTGTGAACATTGTCACAATTCCCTTATAATTCTTCAATGTATTAATAATAGTTTTAAGTAATTACAGAGTGGACTTTTTTTTTCATAAGTGTTTTTCTTTTTTTTTTTAAGGTGGTATTAGGGACTTATGCCGAGGCTCACCACTGAGTCTCATCCCCAGACCTTTTTTAATTTTTATTTTGAGGCAGGGTGTCTCTAAGTTTTCCAGACTGGCCTTGAACTTGGGATCCTCCTGCCTTAGGTTTGTGCCACCACATCCTGCAGTTAGGATTTCTTTTAAAGAAATCAAAACAACAGAAGTCTGAGAAACCTAAAGGAATGGAAATTTGTTCTTTAGTTGTACTTTATTCACTAAAACTGGGTGTTGGTGTGTCGTTGAGCTCACTTCAAACTCATTGCACAGATGTCTGTTGAGCAACTGCTGCGTGCCTGTGTGACTGTCACTAGTTTTGGAGGTTCTTTCTTTAAAACAAAATTAAACAACAAAAAAAGGGAACATACAAAACACCAACGGAGATCCTCCTTTGGAGTTCACATTTGAGTTCCAAAGCGTCTTGAATTTGCGTGGCATACAGAACAAGGTCTAGACGTTTGGGGATTGTCACAGTCTCCTCGTCTGTCACCTCTCCCGTCTATAGCATTCTGTACTATATATACTCTTTCAAATGTCCCGACATTTCCTGGTCTTCTTCCCTTTATTCAGGTTATTTTTTTTCCTTCTGGCCTTTTTTCTCTGGGTGAAATTTTACTCAGTTGCTAAAATGTCACCCCTTTGTGAAGTCTCTGCCACACTATTCTTGTTTTATAGCTTTGGTTCCTGCTGTGGCCTTATTCCTCATAACTGTAGATCTCAGAGCTACTTTAATTCTCTCTCCCTTCTAGAGAATGAATATTCACCTTTATAGCTCTTGGGCCGCCTGCAGGGCCCAGTTCAAATCAGGTACTTAATAAATAAATCTATGTGGCAGAATGTAAACTGGAAGAAGAAAGTCTAATTTTTTCTGAAGGGTAGAAAGGCAGCTATTTGCATTAGCACCTGTGTGTGTGTGTTGAATTCAAAATAAATGTGGTAGCAACAAGGTTACTGTGGAGATGAGTTAGCAAAGAATTTGGGTGTGTGATGATATGGGCTGGTTTCCTTCCTTCTCCGTCTCTGTGTTGGATGATTGATCCTGCCTGTTGTGGGAGCTGTGGATGGTCCCATTTGTCCTCCCCTGGCAGGGACCCCTCTGTTAATGACACCACACTGTTGACAAAGCCATCTCTGGTTTGCTTTACTACCTCTGGTGTTTTCTTCAGTTACCTCTTTATCAAAACTTATTTTAAGGTTGATTTTATCCTTCTCCTGAATGTCTTCCCTTTCCCATTGAGCACCTTCTTTTATTCTCTCTCTCTCTCTCTCTCTCTCTCTCTCTCTCTCTCTCTCTCTCTGTGTGTGTGTGTGTGTGTGTGTGGGCTATGTAATCTTCATAGCTACTCACTATATAAAACACCCTCCTCAACTGGAGTGTACCATCACAAGGAGCCTGTGTTTAGCGCTTACAATGAATAAAATAATTTGCTTGTTTTTCATGGTAAACCTGTGAAATTTACTGTCACTTGATGTCTTATGTTTTGTTCAGTATTAAAATATTCTTTTAGTAATAGAATTGGTCATAAGTACTTTATGTAATTTTCTTATGGAGAAGGAGAACATCATGATATATTTGCTTCCCTTTCCTTATATTAAAAACGTTAACATTTTTTAAACTGTGAAGGCAGCATAAATAAGATAATCTTATTGAGCAATTTCTTAGAGTTATGACACATAAGTCTAACTTTTTGGCCTTCTGAACAACCTCAAGTTGACAGCTTTTATGGTTGGTTGTAGCCCTATACAATTCCAAGAATTTTACCAGAATGTTCTTTATAACTCAGCCGGAATGCTATCTTGTAGTTAGGTTCTTCTTGGGGCCGGTACTTAAAGGCTATAGTCTTTCAGGTGGTCTGTCAAGCATCATCTAGCTGTTTGTTTGAACCTTCTCTTTTCTATTGCCTGTGAGTTGTTTCTGGTATTCAGAGCTGCTGTTTAATAGTATTTTAGTTCATGATTATGAACTGCCCCTGAAGACATTAATCAAAAGCTTAAATGTCTTTAGAGTTCTTGTTTCATAACTCCATGTTAAAAAGAACCAAGAGGAGCATAGGAGATGGCATCAGAGGAGAGGACAGGAAAGGAGAGAAGAGGAGAAGAGAGGAGAGAGAGGACAGGGAGAGAGAGAAAGGCAGAACACGAGAAAGAGGAGTAGAAATAACTCAAAGGACGGTAGGTAAAGAGCCGGTATTGAATTTTATGTTGAAGGTTCCTAGGTACAAAGAACTTGAATCTTCTTTACTTTTAGTGTTTCTCTTGAACTTGAAAGTATAAGAATATTTACTTTCTTGGCCTGCCACAGTGGTGCACACCTGTAATCCCAACTCCTTGGGCTGCTAAGGCAGGAGGATTGCAAATTTAAGGCCCACGTCAGCAATTTAGCAAGATCCTATCACAAAATAAATATAAAAACAGGTCTGCAATGTAGCTTAGTGGTAGACTACCCCCATACTCAATTCCCAGTACTCTGTCCTTACACCCAATCAAACAGGTTTCATGCTACAATAAAAGAAAAAAAAGCAAAAAATATTCTTAAATAGTTTGTTCTCATAATCTCTTTGAAGGGTATCAAGTAACTATATCTGTGTCTTAATGCACTGCTAAACTCTACCCTATCAAACTGGGTTCTGTAAATACAACATTAAAATGGGTATTTTTTTTTCTTCTTCTGCTTCCCTTTTTTGCTTTATCTGCTAATACTAGTAGATATGTTTATTGTGAGATGTTTTGGTGCACTTCAAGTTGAGTTTAATCCAAAATTTTTCTTCAAGAATGGTTTCAGAAATATTTCTATTAAAATCCAGTCATAGTGTCACATGCCTGTAGTCCTAGCAACTCAGGATGTGGAGACAGGAGGATTGCAAATTTGATGCCAGCTTCAGCACCATAGCAAGACCCTGACTCATTAAAAAATAAGAAATTTGGGGCTGGGGCTGGGGCTCAGTTGTAAAGCACTCTCCTAGCATGTGCGAGGCGCTGAGTTCGAGCCTCAGCACCACATTTAAAAAGATAAATAAATTAATTTAAAATAAAGATTTTTTAAAATAAGATATATATATATATACATGCACATATATGATTAATAGTAAGAAATATTTATGTACATATATAAATATACACACATACTATATATATGTATATATATATACATATATATAGTATAGTGTGTCTGACATATATTATAGTTCCTTTCAAATGTCTTTGTCAATTGCCCTCTTTTCCTTTTCTAGCATAGACTTTTTATGATCAATCAGGGATCAGTTGTTTTTTCCCTTTCCTGATAGTTAATTTTGGGGACTACTCCTTATCTGTTTCCCCTAGTGGAAAAGGTAAAGAACCAGTGGGATAGCACGCAGCATGGGGTGGATCTGCGTCGGCAGCAGCTGGAGGACATGATTGTGGACAGTCTTCAGTGGGCTGACCACAGGGAGGAGACGGAGGAACTGATGAGAAAATATGAGGCTCGACTCTACATGCTCCAGCAAGCCCGGAGGGATCCGCTCTCCAAACAGATCTCTGATCATCAAGTAAGACTCATTGGTTATTGCTCGGCAGTGCCATTTCCTTAGACTCGCTTTTTCTATTTTTCTTAGGAACCCGTCTTGATGTTTTCCTAAGTTCTTAGAATATATATTGAATTTATATGAAGCATTTGATCAGGAAGTTTTTCTGAATAATTTCTGGAAGCCTAACAAATAGATTTTTTTTTTTTTTGGCTAATGAAAAATCCTCACGAACCAACATCTAGAAAAAGAACATTTTATAGGATCCCAGAATCCTCATTTTAGTTTCTTTCTTGCCTACTCCAGAGCTTATTTGTATTTGTAAAATTTCTTGAGGCTTTGATTTGAGTGCTACTGTGGTGAGCAAGTCAGTTAATAAATAAGTTTAGTTTCTTTTAATACATTTATATCCACACTTATCAATATGTAGGTTCCACTGTTGATCAGTTTGATTAGAGTTGATAATAGTGAATACTTATTGTATTTTTAAAATGTTATTTTGAATTATTTCTTACAATAACAGAAAATATTCTTGAGTTGGAGGATGTATTAGCTGTGAGGTTATATTTTGGTGGAACGTTTTATTTGCCCTTCAGGTAACTTCAGGTGAAAGTGCACATTGATGAAGAATGTAATAATAAAGACTGTGTGAGAAACACAATCTAAAACCTGGAAGTATGTTTTTATTCTTCACAAGTGTAGACTTTCCATGGTTACAATTTAAAAAGCAAGTGGCCAGGGGGATTGGTTTCTGAATCATTTTCTGTGTTTATGACACCTGCTGATCATTTCTATCAAATGATTCAAAAGTAATAGCAAAGCCCTGCACCTTAAGTAGAGAAATACAGTAAAAAATAATACCCATGATTCAGTCATCCTATTTGGAACACAGTTGGCTCTTTGTGTCTGTGTGATTAGTATCCACAGATTCAATCAACCAGGGATTGTATGCTGTGTAGTTAGATCTGTGATGGTTGCATCTGTATTGAACATGTAAAAAAGTTTTTAAAAAGTCCTTGTAATTATTCCATAAACAATGCAGTATAACAATTATTTATATAGCATTTAAATGGTATTAGGGAATACAAGTAAAGTGTACAGGAGGATATGCATAGATTTTGTGCAAATACTGCACCACTTTATATCAAGGACTTGAGCATCTCTGTGAATTTTGATGTCCATGGGAGGGGAAGGCTCTTGGAACTACTTTTCCACAGATACCAAGGGAGGTCTGTTTGCTTCTCTAATTAACAGTGTGGTTCATTTCTCTAGGCTGGATTTTTCTTCCAGTTGCTACAAAAATTCTTAGAGGACCATAGTTGTTACTCAGATTTCATGTGGAGATTCTTGTTTCAGAAACTTTCAGGGACAGAAAGTGTCAAGATACCATTGCCTGTGGTTGTACTCAGTCTCAGTTTAGCTGCCCAGGCAGATTCTCTGTAAACCTTGCTCACTGCTTGGTCTATCCAAGCAATTAACTTTGTAAACACGTGCAGCGATCCAGGGGCAAGAGGCAGAAGAATTCCACCATTGTTGGTTCTTGCTGTTTCTCCAAGCACATACAGAGGAACTCTGTATGTGTTCAATTCCTATATGATGCACATTCCTGTAAGATTTAGATGTTTAGCAGAAGGCATGAGAGGGACAGATGGTTTGAGGAAGTAAAATATCTCAGAGAGGAAAATATAATCAATATCATCTGCCACATACCTGATTTCTTAAGACATTTTCCATTTCTAGAATTCTTTTGGTTTAAGCCTACATGCAAGAGTTTGTCCCCTAATTTGTTTTCTTCTTGTGATGTCTAGTTCTCACACATGTTAAAACACCCTTGGAAGCAGTGTTTGGGTAATGATAATTGCTAAATGACCAGGTCTAACAATTATACTTGAACTTACACCTTAGATGTTGCTTCAAGAACTGGGTCCTGGTGATGGTGTCATCATGGCGTTTGATAATGTCCTGCAGAAACTGCTGGAAGAATATGGTAGTGATGACACAAGGAATGTGAAGGAAACTACTGAGTATCTGAAAACATCATGGATCAATCTAAAGCAAAGGTAATTCTATGGCCCTGGCAATTGAATGCATAATGTTAAATTGAGAATTTGACTTCTTTTGGTTTTCTCATAGAAACATCCCCCAAATCTGTAGCTACTAGAAGTACATTTCATTATTACTTTTATTTTTATAGTGTGATATGCTGAGTTGGTATTATCATGCCTACTTTGTCCAGAATGTGTATTTACTCAATATCTAGTTGAATTTCTATAATGCTGTTTTCCCTTGAATAAGCCTAAATCTTGCCAATGATTATTCTGAATTCTCTCAGTATTATCTCAAACACTAGTACTCTGGTAAGTAACAGATATTTATAGATGCCTCAGGGTAATAATAATTACAATGGTATAGTATTTGGCTGGGTCTCCTCAGTTGAAGATCAGATGCCATGGATTCAACACTGGACTTCTGAAATGATTCATGTGACTTTAGGACTTTAATTAACTTATTATCTTTTCTTTCTGATTACTGACTAGTCAGTATATTTGGAATGGCCTGAAATAGCGTATGTTTTTAGAAGAGAGATTTTCCTGTCACTTGAACATCTAGGATGTGAGGAGCTGTAAACAGTAGTTAGCATATCTTCAAGATGCAAATTTATATTCATCAGTATAGAGTGTTGACTTTATGCATGGTGCTGGGAATGTCTGTGTCTAGGTGAACCCGTGATTTCTCCAACGTCTTTATCTATTTAAATGCAACTTCCTGAAAATTAATTTGATATCAAATCACATTTATTTTGCAGTGAATAAAATTGATAGTGATCAGAACACTTTATGGTATATATATTCCTGGTAATAAACTATGGTCAAGCATTTATTAAAGTTTGACATGGAGGAATTTTTATGCATTTCTTGAATGTTGTTTTCAGTTAGAATCTTTCAAGCAGTTCTGTAAACTCCAGAAGAGAATTATGAGGGAAGCACAGTAGCTTGAATGTGTTGCTGGACATACGTAGGACACTGGGGGACACGAGACTGGAGTGGCAAATACAGACCTTCAAAAAGGAACATTTTGATCTTCCTAGCATGTTAGCATAATTTTTCTCTTTTATGGTAACAGATTATTTGGATAGAGTTAAGGATCCCATAACTGAGGCAGGGACAGCAGGTGAATTAAAAACAGCTTGAACCCTGAAATAATCCCTAAACGTATTTCATCTATGTTTTTCCAAAAATTCCATGTGCAAAGAGTTATGACTTTGTTTATGTTTTAAACAATACCAGAAAAAAATTGATCACTTAGGAATGAGTGGGCTGCTTTATTTAGTACCTCCAGCTCTCTCTCTCTCTCTCTCTCTCTCTCTCTCTCTTTGGCTTTTACTTTGTAAATATTTTAAGACAGCCTACAGCAGTAGTGAGATTCGATGGAAGAAGCAATTAAAAATGAATTATATTCCAAGGTGATCTTTCATTTATCATAGCAGAGACAACCACATATTCCAAGTTATCATTGTTACAAGAAATCGTCCTTGCTCAGTATCTATTTGCATTTTGGGGAGGGGGAATAAGCACTTTTATTAATATTTGGACAAGATTCAGATATGTTATTATTTATAAAGTCAGAAAAATAACAACAAAAACCGTGGCTCACAGGATCCCCATGAGTGACAGCTAGGGTTTCTATGTATTCAGAGTTTTCTGTTTTAAGCAGTAATATTTATATTATTAATTGTTTTAAATTATCATCTTTGGGGGGAATTTATAAATCTTTTCTTCTTAAAGTATGAGGACCTCTGTTAAACTTCTTTCAAATTCTTAACTTTATTATTTTTTAAAATTTCAATACATCCAGTGTGGAAAGATCATATTTAAAACTTTGAAATTTTTAACATTGTTGTTGCAGAGAGAGAACTAAGGAACTTTAGCAGCTGTACGTGAGCCTATAGTTTATCTAAACCTGTGTTTCTCAACCTTTCTCGTTATTTCTTCTCTAAGACGCCTTCTTAGAGCCCAGCCCCTTATGAAATTTCAATAGTGTGGTATCACGTGTGTCCATATCTGTCCTGGATAGTTGTGCTTTACATACATGAAAACAGGGCATTTTTTCTGTCTCTCCTCCCCCATGGCAAGAACCATTTCTCGTCTCCTTTGAGACTATGTGGTCTGATCTCCCTCTCTCACTCAGAAAAGCTAAGCGGCATGCTCAGGTTCACCTAGAACAACCAAAATGGTATTTTTCCTCAAGTGAAAGGTGATCATACCTTCTGTGCTGGGTTCTGAAGCTTTGGTAGTAAATTTATTCAGGTTGCTATGCTTTGTGTGATTGTGTGCTTTACTTTTGGTTTGTAAATTTTATTGTGCGTGTTCTCATCATCAGGCACTCTGCTCAGCTCTTCATATATTTTTTTTCCTTTGATCCTCACAGTAACCATAGGGGGCAGGCAAGCATTTTCATCTGTGTTTTGTTGGTGAATTCACTGAAGCTCAGAGAAGGTAAAGATTACCGCAGCTCACACAGCTCCTACAGGCCAAGCAGGAATTGGATTCAAGCCTTTATGCTTGTTCCTTGAGGCTCATCTCATCTTTAGCAAGACTTTCATTTTTCTTCTTTGTTATCAGAATGTCAGTGATTGCTGGTGACTGTTTTGTGTACCTGCCTCTCAGAGCTGTGTGTGATTTGGCTTACTGGTTCTTATCTGGGTTGAGTTTAGAAACCAGATCAGATTAAAGATATGGGGGCCTCCTCTATGAATAATGTAACACTGTCTATTAGGTGGCCATTGTGCCCAGTCTAATGGCCTCTGAGAGGCCTTTTACCAAGTCTCTCTTCTTATCTCCTCCCAGCCATATTCTGAATATACATCATTGTCAGTCTGATTCTGGAGGGGTGAAGGGTGATTATACTTACACAAGGAGTAATGTTAGCAGAGCATTGTATGTAAAGCTTAATATCATCTTTAAGGGAAATATTTTATAGGAATTGATGTTGGTCTAAATAATTTGGCCATTCACAATTACAGGCCCACAATATCTTATCTACAATGCCCAAATCCCCAAAAGCTCTGATAACAGAAAGCTTTGAATTGACATGAGACTATTTATTATAGTCTTTATTTATTCATCCTGCTTAGGATGAATAGCTTTGTTCCTAGATATACAAATATGAATGTGTTTGACTATTTCCCTGCTTGGGCTGATATGTAATATAGATACATCAATAGTGTTAGTTACCTATTGTACAAAAAATTTATTAATCCTGATATTGAGTGACAGCTAGAGTTTCTATATATTAAGAGTTCTGATTAAATGATTGCTGGTATCTTGAGTTCTCTGAGCAGCGGCCTGTCTGTAAGTTTGAGAGTAATCTCCGTATTTTCACTAATGCTCTTTTTGACATTTTTCCCCCTTGTATCTCCTGATGACAGTTAACCAATTATTTAAAGCATATTATGATGTGATAGTGTAGAATGTACTTCTACAAGGTGAATGTCCCTTATCCGAAATGCTTGGAATCAGAAGTTTTTGATTTCGAATTTTTCTGGATTTTAGAATATTTGTATATATAATGATATATGTAAAGTTTGGGGAAGCAACTCTAAACATGAAACTAATTTATACTTCAAATATACTTGAGAAGGGTTGATAGTATGGCTCTGTAGTTGTGTTAGTTAGTTTTTTTGTTTGTTTGTTTCTGTGACTGAAATATCTGACAAGAACAATTTAGAGGAGGAAAAGTGTATTTGGGGCTGTTTCAGAGGTTCAGTCTCCAGTCAGTTGAATGCTTGCTCTGGGCCCCAGATTAGGCAAATATGGATGAAGGGCCCAGCAAAGGAGCCTTGTTCAGTTCATGGCTGGGTCAGGAAGTAGACAGCAGGAGGGGAGGAAGGGGCTACAGGGAGAGTGAATCTTTCCAGGGCAGCCCCCAGGGACCCCCCTCTCCAACCATGCTCCATCTGCCTACAGTTACCACCCAGTCAGTCCATTCAAACTAGGGTGGACTGATGAGGTCACAGCTCTCATAGTCAACCACTTCACCTCTGAATATCTCTGCATTAACACTGGAGCTTTTGGGAGACACCCTGCATCCAAACTGTAACATGAGCTTTATGCATATAGTCTAAAGATAACAGGCACTCGTATGGCAATATGTAAATCAATGGAAGTGTAACTGATGTGTTTCTGCAATTTGTATTCGGGGTAAAAATGAGAGTTCATAACCCACTTGAATCAAAGTGTGAAATATGATATGTTAAGAACTATGTAATGTTTTGAACAACCAACAATAAAAAACAAACAAACAAAAAGAGATAATTCATGCAATATTTTAAGTAATTTTCTGTATGAAAAATTTAATGTAATGGTGTGGAATTTTCCACTTTGGGCATCCTATTGGCATTCAAAAGGTTTAGATTTTGGAGGTTCAGATTTTTGGATTCAGGATGCTCAACTGGATGCCTGATTTGTGTCTGAAAGTTTATTTTAACTGTATATATAAACACTTCAGGGCTAAACTAATATTTTATATCCATGTGTATATATATATATATATGTGTGTGTGTGTGTGTGTGTGTGTGTGTATGTATTAATGTTATACATATATACACAATTATCTATGTTGAAGTATTATCAAGGAAATGAGACACTATAAGTGTATGCTGTAATTTCTTTCTTTTTTCCTTTTTTAAAATTTTTGTGTCAGGGATTAAACTCAGGGTTGCTTAACTACTTGTCACATCCCTGGCCCTTTTTAAAATATTTTATTTTAGAGGGAAGAGAGGGAAGTTCTCACTGATTTGGTTAGGGTTTCACTAAGTCCTTGAGGCTGGCTTTTAACTCACGATCCTCCTGCCTTAGCCTCCTTATCTGCTGGGATTACAAGCAGGTGCTACTGTAATTTCTTATGAATTACTAATTACTGTATATTTTTCTCCTTGTCCTTATCCCTGTGAAGTCATATTTTCCTTACCTACTTGAAGGTCCTTCTGGAATGGTACAAGTAGAATGGAGCATTCTGGGTATGATCTCTTGACAACCTATGGTTAAAATCCCACTCTGTG